CCAACCAACCAACCAACCAACCAACCAACCAACCAACCAACCAACCAACCAACCAACCAACCAACCAACCATCTGTCATGATTTGTCGTTCAGTTTGTGCCTCAAATTCATTAATGCGATCATAACAACCCAAAAGAAGCTCCTGCTGTTGGTAAATTACTGACACTCCTGGTAATTTCTACTTCTAAATTACATTGTTAATTTTTGAAAACTGTGCAAGTTATTATTTTATCAATAAAGCTTTTTTTGTTTGTTTTGTTTTCCCAATGCATTAAAAAATAATTTCCCACAAATGTTCTTTTAGCAAACAGAAATAACTTTGGGAAGCTCAACTCAAGTAAAACCTCAGACCGACGGAAACATGTTGTGTCCTTTCAGTCGGTGACAGTTCCCAAAATAATTCAAGTTTTTATTTAGAATTTTTTACAGCTTTCTTCAGTTTTGGATACATTTTAATAATATTTTTTAAAGACTGACACGACCTGTTAATGTCGTTATGTATCTTCCTTCGAAAGTTAGCTGGGATTTTGCTCCTGACAGAACCGGTGTAACCCAGTCAGTGGTGTCGGCTCACACACTCCCTCTTACCTTTTCAGCTCTTCCAACAAATTTTCAGAACAGCTAAGATGAGGATTTTGCGACGGCCACTCCAAAACACTAACTTTGTTTTTTCTTGAATCACTTAACAGCGAATCTGGTGTTATAATTATTGTCCCACTTTGCATTTGTGTAACATTATTTACTGTATATCTTCTTATTTCATGTATGTAAACTTCTGGTTTCAGCATTTTATCATCCTGGCCTAAAACCAGGACATGTGAACATTAAATGTGTCTTTTTAAGCACATTATATGTGCTTAAAAAGAACATATGTGTATGTAAACATCTGGTACAAGTGAATATAGAACTCCAGATAGAGGAATAAGAAATATTTTTTTTCCATTGAGTTTGCCATTTATAGACATGTGTTTCAGTAAAACACAATTTATTTTAGTTATTTTTTGAACATTTATCCCAAATCACCAAGTAAAAATATCACCACATTTTCAAACACAATTTTACAGAAAAGGTAGCAAACAATCAAAGGAACTGTTCTTTAAAACTTAAATAAGTTAAAGAAAACAAGTCAATATCTAAAAAAAAAACAAAAACGAATTTCCATCACCGCTTTCCTGCTTTTTAATCTTTCACATCGTCGCTGGGTTCATCACCTAATCAGTAAATCATTAGGCCAAATGACGCCTTCTTGTATTTAAACCACAATGGCAGGAAATGAATATTATCTGAGTAGAAATGCTGATTTTAAAATGAAAATTACAGCCGTCTCTTTTCCAAAAGCTTCCTATAATAACATCTCTGATTTGATCTAAGCTCCTTTCTTTATGAAAATCTTTTTTTTTTTTCCATCTTGTACAATGAAACAAATTAATGATTTGCCAGCTTGAGGCCACAGTTTCTTGCTTTTACTCTCTTCATCGTTGCATCATCAGAGGAAAGGAGCCTTTAGACAAAGAGAAAGAAGGACCGACACTAATGACGCTGACATTCGCCTTCGTGTGGCAACATGCGCCTCCAAGGCATGTTATTCATCTCAGGTGCTTTGCTGTTTGACACAAATTTATTCAAATCATGCAACCTACGTTAACTCGTATTGCTCATTCTCAACAGACTGTAAAATCCTAAAAAGATTTATTTAATTCAACATCTTTAAATACAGACTGCAAACTATTACAGTTAAAACGTAAGGAATTGTAGATACCATTGTGTTTATAAGTTAATGCTAAAAGTTTTACAGTAATAAAGTAGTAACTTTTATATAAACGTCAAATAAACAAAATCCTGGAACGCATACCAACGATTTCTAATCATATAATTTGTGTAGATGTGAGGATAGATTGGTATTCAGGTACTATTTTGTATATATATAATATATATAAATAAAGCTTGACAATTGGTGCCAGTAGTAGTGGTGGGATGTAAAATAAAAGACAAACTCAAACTGTCCATTCTGCTTGCTGATATCAGAGAGAGCAAAGCTGCATAAGTCATTCATTCAGGGTTGATTTCTGCAGTAACGTGTTTATAGGATCATTTCAGGATTGTGAGAAACATTGACACTTTTTATTCTGCTAGAGAAATCAAGCTAACAACAGTCACGTCTCCTTGAAAAGATAAAATCCTCATCGAATCTTCCACAAAATCTTCTGAAAGGGATCGAATGCAGCATTATTTTTCCAAGGCAATAAAAAGCAAATTGCATCGATATGTGTGTGTGGGTGTGTGCTTGTGTGTAGGTGTGTGTGTGTGTGTGCAGATGTCATGGTGTGGAAAACCAGACCCCACACACCTTTACTTTTACACAAATGGCACAAACACAGGGGAGAAATCAATAACGTCTCTCTGAGGGACAGTTTGTTGTGTGAATGGAGGACAAAGGGCTGCAGCTGTTCCTCCTCTGTCTGCTGTCCCTCCTGATCTGAACCTGAGTTAATACATCCTGTCAGGGTGAGGGACTCGTTACTACCGATTTCACTTTCTTCCCATCTGCTCTTATTACCAATTCTTCATCTTTGGTTCATGTCACTCAGTAAGAGTAAGCCTCTCTCAGTTTACCTGCAGCTCATCTCAAACTGCTCTCTTCCTGCACCGTCAGCCAAGTTATGATTTTATGCTTCCTCCTCAGAAGCAACTCAATAAAACTATGAACATGTTGGAACTTCTATATCATAATGTGAGGCTGTTTAAGGCTGCAGGCAAAAAGGAGAGAAACAACAAAAGGGAAATCTATTTACGGTATAAGTGAGGATACTTAGAAAGTTAAATCCTTTTTTTTTTTTCCACTTTCTGCATGAAATGAAGCACATCCAGCACAGATATCCTAATGGTCGCCGGTTATTTATGATGTGGTGTCTCTTTCATTTACAGATCATCCCATCATTTTGGTTTTTCGGAACTTCTCATGGGAGACGAGGCAATTAATGTCAGCATCAACAGTCTGGATGGAGCCGCAGCAACAAAGAACGCTCTTCAAAAAAAAAACCGACTCAGACGTTTGCAGCCCAGATATTTTCCCTCTGAATCATTTGAGTTGATCATAAAACATCTGGAACTTTTAAATTCAATCTGTCTGGTTCTGGACTCTGATCCAGTTCAGCGGGAGGCAGGTTTAAAAAGTCATTTATGTACATTTATGGCTGTTCCTGCATTTTGGGGTTTTGTTTACTGTGTTTTTGTTGCAATAAATGTAACAAAATTACAAAAACAACAACAACAACTAATTTTTAAATTGCCTTATAGAGAAAGATTGAAGAGCCGACAAGAGCTTTTCTGCACAGCAGTGGCTTGGGCAACATTTCACTTTCATATCACTGGACAAGGAGTGTTTCCAATGATTGGCTTATTCTGAAAGTAAAAAAACAACAACATTTGTTAGAGCTTATGTAAGTGGGTTGCTTCTCAAACTGATCAGAGCATATTCTAATATCTATAATGAAAATCTGGAAGCTCATTTTTAGAAATGATACCAACTTCAGATACCAGAAAATCTACCCCAAAAAAAACCTCAATCAAAATGCTGTTTTCTACTAATATATCTCCTTTGCATATCTACAGAGGTTTTAATTGATGCACCTTGAATTCCTAGATAATTTATCCTCCTTTGTAATCTGTTTGTTGTCCCGTTTTCCTTTGAAAGCTCGAACATCAAAGCCCTGCTGGTTGGGTCTCTTTCATAAATCACAAATGGCGTTCGACCTCAGCTGACCCTCTTCTGCCGCAGCATTTGCAATGACCATTTTAGCACATCAAAGATAAATCAACCGTGTCCATAAACTGACATCCATTTCTGAAACTGAAAGGACCTGACGGATGAAATATCGAAATAACAAAAATTGTCCATGAAAGAACAACGAGCCAAACGTCTTAGTAAATCGCAACAATCCCCTTTTTTACATCTGTGTCTCTGTGGGAGATCAGGCCCATTAAGGAGGCATTACAGAGCCCACTCCACTCCACTCCGACTGAAAGATGTCACAGAGTGAAGTCGGCCTGGCTCTGTGTGACTGATGACTCTCAGCGGGGCACCGTCTCTACAGAGGTACCAGAAATGGGTCCATCCTTCAGAAAACCACGATGGCTTTCAGACTGAGAGACAGAGTTTAAAAAATCCAACCTGACCCCGTCCTGATCCGACCCGACTAAATAACTTATGGGCCAGAGTCCGGAGTAAGTCTAACATTATATTATTTAAGATTTCACTGCTTTTAGACCACGGTGTAAGTAAGTAAGCAGTGTTTACTTACTTACACTCCTGTTTTTAGCTCCATCTTGTCGCTTGTTGTAACCGCAGGGTGAGTCAAGTGAAAATCAATCGGGAAGTGTGACTGATAGGAGCGGAGCCGCCTGCGCGTTGTGGAGTGTGCTGCTGCGCTTGTTACAGTCTGGATAACTTCTGCATCCTTCCTACTGTCTTTATTTCCTCCACAGGTTAAACCATCTACTCCCCCATTTATGATAAGCAGATTAACATAACTTTTTATTGTGCCTTATTGTTTGGTTTGTATTGAATATTGTTTGTATTCTTAAATCCTGAGCTGTTTTGTGAATCCTGGGTCTGGCTTGGGCCATAATTCCAAACTCTATTGTGATATAAGCATTTGTGCAAACAGAACCTACATGTAGAAGCATACATCGCAGCGTCTGGCAAAACAATTACTGCTTGGTAAACGAAGTGATGACCTACAAGGAGCACAAGCAAACTGAAGTAAATAATGATCCGGCCACACCCAAAACATTAGCCATAGTTATAAATCATTCCTCAGCAGCAGGAGAGAAAACAGCCTGCGTTACATGGATAACAGACCAGAACGAGTGGAACCGATGTCAGAAGAGGGATGATGCCCTGGCAGATGTGGCGTTACAAAGAACCTGGTCATTAATTCATGATGGCAAGTTATGAAAGCAGGACAGAGGGGAAAACGGTGGGAAAGATTAGGAAACAAACCTGTTCAAAGAATTCCTCCATGAAGCCTTTGTCCATCCCCACAGCGACTTCATCCTCTTCTTCTGTCGTCTCCTTGCCCTGCACACAAGATACTGCTGTTATCAAAGAGAGACTAAATAAAACTGAATAAGTAAAAGACTGCAAACACATTTATAAACTGCATTAATGTTGATAAAGTTGAGATCAGACGACTTCTTTTGCATAATTGGAGGTTAAATAAAACGGCATCAACCCTCTCGCTCCTTCTCCACCCATCAGCTGATTAGAGACAAGGAGCACTTTAGTAATTAGAACCACAGATAGAGTGATTAACAACTTATTTAATTATGACCTGGAGGCAAATTGAATGTTTGTGGGGGTTTTTTTTCTTCTTCTTCATTTTTGTACATCTCCATTAACACATAGAACAGAAGAACACATAGAAAGTTGATATTTACACACAATTTTAAAAAAAATGCAGACCTTTTTTCTCTTCTGGTCAGCATTATTGCCCAAAGTCTTGCTACATGTCAGGATAATGAGAGAGGGGTTTTTTATAGAGATTTTTAAATATTTTTATTAGACTCAAAAGTCATTGAGACTTAAGCTAAATTTGGAAGAAACTGGAAATGTCTCAGATGTGCTAATGTTTTATAAAACCTGAGTTACGGCCTCGTCGTGCGCTGACTGCGTCGGTTTAAATTTTGGTTTCAGGGAACCAAGAGGCATTCAGGATCCTTCATGATGATTTTAAAATAATGCAACCATAACCAGGCACACAGGAGGAATATTGTGGAGCCACGAGTGGGAGAAAGGAGTGGTGTCTGGTTGGTTGAATTAGCAAAAAGAGACATTTAACAAAAAAAGTCTCTCAACAAAGTCTAACTCCAGAACCTGAATAAAGGAATGGATCGTTAGCAGGAACAATCAGGATTTAATGACATCCTGAAGATGAAACACATCTAAACTATGACCCTCAAAAATTTAAATAAGTGAAAATTGAGTCCAAATTATCTGAGAATATCCTAGATGTCACCTGGAAAGCCTGGAATCTCCTGTCTGACAGCGAAAACGTGACCTCATCAGCAGCAGCACACGGTCGACATCAGACAGGTCTTTTTCATGAATCATGTAAATTCAGACAGAAAACATGAACATAAAAGAGAACATTCTAATTTCCCGTCATGTAGCCGGTGATTCATCATGAAATAAATGCTTATTCCTAATCACATATCAGCCATTATGCTGCATTAGCAGGGATCTCATGTGGCTTCATCTCATTCATTTGGCCCCTGTCAAACTAATTCACAGGCCCATTATGAGATCCATTTGCTTATCAACATTGTAATGGCAGGCTGGCTGCACTTTTCATCTTCATCTGATGTTCCTTCATTTTATTCAGGGATTTTAACAGGAGACAACTCTGACCCACCTACGTCTGCAATTTCTTTCCAAATCTTCACTTTATTAAAAAAAAAAAAAAAAAAAAAAAAGGGGGAATCAGTGAAATCTTGTTTGTCAAAATTGGCTACAGTGAGAGGATTTTCATGAGAGCTCCAGTCAGAGGAGGGATCCTGTAAGAGCTTCAGATGTAGCTTCAGATGTACTCTCTGGTCTCTTTCAGGCATTAAGTCCAATCAATATTTAAAACACACAGATGTACAGAGACATTATGATCAAACTATTATTATTATTATGAGCTTCATACGCTGGCTGCTCCATTCACCCAGACAAAGGCAGGAGAGTGAATGCATTACATTCACTGGGAGACATAAAGCTTACAGTCAAATGAGGCAGATAAACAAATATCTGATGGGAAGAAGAGTTATCCAGTCTATGCAACATTAATCTACAGCTTAATGTTTAAAGCACTCAGACTCGTTTGTAGGCTTATGGATGTAAATGTCTTCCTACTGAAAATACTGTATGGGATTTTGGTTCTTTTCTAAATATTGGAGCGATTTAAATACTTCTGTCAAATTCAGTTTAATGAATTAAACTAAACATGTTTTTAATGTTGAAAAAATAAGCCACGAGCACTTTAGATTATAATGGAGAATTAGGGGTATCGCAGATTAAATAAAAATAAAATAAAATAATGAGGCAGCAGAAGAATATTTTTTTGCCCAACAAATATATATAAATATGGCCTTAAAAGAAATCCCACTTTGCAATTAAAGCCTTGAAATTGGCCTCTGTCTCTTTAAGAAGCTCCTGATCTTCCCTCAGTGTGTCATCACACCAATGCTTCTCCATGATGCCGTTTACGACCGTTCTTATAAGCTCAGCAGACGTGTAGCTAAATGATGCTGCCACTAGTCTGGAGGAGCTGAGTGATGAGGAAGGGGTTCGCTCTGTGGGGCTACAGATCCAAACTTGGTGGGAATCGGCGGCGCTCGGTTAGACCAAGCGATTAGGCGTCCCCGAATGGTTGCCATGGGAGATTAAAGGATTTATCAAACATGCATGAAAAAGAAAAATCAGTGCAACACTCCAGGTGTGTTTTTGATGAAGGAATAACTTAATGTAAAGCTCAAAAAAGTCAACTTTAAATAATACTTCACCTTTAACTTTTGTTCAATTAAAAGCTTGGGGGATTATTTAATTCCTCTGTCTAAAACTTCTATCAATATTTTCTCAACATTCATGACAAAATTGAAAAATGTGCCTTATAAAAATCTAAATTTTAAATCAGTTGTAACGTACAAGAAAATATGCTGGAAATGCATCTTTGTCAAGTTCTTTGCTGTGCGAAAAAACAGTGAATGAAAATCATTTTGTGCTTTTAATTAGCGCCTTCCTCTGTGTTGGGCTTCAACACGAGAATAGCTGACGGAGACGACCAGAAGGGAAAAAGAAAAGAGGCACAATGAGGAGATGAGTTAAAAACACAGACAAGAGAGAAAAAAAATGTTGTGAACCAGGGTTAGCTGGAGATGCTGAGATAGTTGGCACAAATCTTAGTGAGAGGAACACAGAGCCACTGTTATCACTCTATTATTCGGGGCCCACTCAAGATATATTTAACCCAACACAAACTTTTTTTTTTTTTTTTTTAATTGTGAAAACAGTTTATATTCCCGGCAGAAACTCTCCTTAAATAACCTCAGGATACAAATATCCGAGGAGAGATCATATTTAACGCTGACATACATCGAGGAGTAGGTCCTGCTGCTTTTTCACTTCAGCTGCGGTTCTGTCCAAACGGCGGTTCTGCACAAAGCAGGGCGAACGCTGTAAAGGCTGCCGCAGCAGGATGCAGAGGAGGAAAACAAGCAGACACTCAGAATAGGCTGAGCGAGCGCTGTTCAGCCTCCACAGAGGGATGCTGTATCCCCTGCAGAGAGATAAGGGCTCTGGTCTGTCTTCTTTTTTGTTTTTTGTTTTTTGTTTTTTACTTTACGGTCAACCAACAGCAGCAAAGTCGCCACCCCCGGAGTCTCCACCTCCCACCCAGATCTGGAGCTCCCGCTGAGCCAAAAAGAGTCTGCGGAGGCCCTCGACTCTCCACTCAGCCCACAGACTTGACTGTCCACACACAGCAGATGCTCTGAGCCAGACACAAAAACATACATCTACACATCACAGATGACACACTTATAATACGCAGCAGATGGCACACACACACACAAAGAAAACAAGGTCTATAAACGAGCCGGTCCTCAGTGGACCGTAACCTGTAAAATGCTCTCCACCTCTGGGCTCATGCTCGGGCGCGACGTCCCAGCGGCAGGTGATGCTGTCACCCGATTGCGCCGATCGTCAGATTGAAGAGTTTTGCATCAGCAGGGAAGTCTTTCCATGAAGACAGAAGAGCCCACACATCCAGAGCACACAGAAAGATGGAAAGAAGCTTATTCCATTCGATCAACCGAGTTGAGTTGCGTTGTGCAGCAACAAAGCCGGTTCAAAGTGCTTTTATATCATAAAAACACAAAGATAAAAAGTCATAAAAACAACATAAGAGTCACCAACTGAGAAATCAGTAACAATTTTGTTGAGTGCTGTCATCAAAATCATCAACACAAATCAAATGTGTTGGTCAATGCACCATTTATTTTGGTTCAAAACCAACTCTAAACAGGTGAGGTTTCAGTCTACATTTAAAGGCATTCAGCGTTTCAGCTGTTTTGCAGTTTTCTGGAAGTTTGTTCCAGATTTGTGGTGCATAGAAGCTGAGTGCTGCTTCTCCATGTTTGGTTCTAGATCTGAATCCATAGAACCAGAAGACCTGAGAGGTCTGGCAGGTTGATACAACAACAGCAGATCTTTAATGTATTCTGGTGCTGAGTCGTTCAGTGATTTATAAACTAACAGAAATATTTTAAAGTCTGAGCTACTGGGAGCCAGTGGGAGACAAAGCAGACAAGATACATAAGAAGTATGAATTTTTATCAGAAAGCAGAAATGAGGGAAAAATACAGCAACACAACAATTACTGAAAGCTGTGAAAGTGCCACACAAGGTGCAACAAGAACCCAGAGAGACGCAGGGAGCTGTGAATGCAGCAGCTCTGTGCTTATTAACAGCAATCTCAGAGTTGCATGTGATAACAGACGAGACGCAGCTCCTGCAGAGGTGAAAAGACATACAACTCCAGTTCTTTGCTGTCCTTTTTTGTATTTCCAGTTTTAAAAGCCAACCTGTTTCTGGCATCTCTGTATGAGAGCCGGTTGAAGTCAGACTCATAAATAAACCGTCAGCTGCACAGGGAAGCCATGTGAAAATAACCAAGTTTAAAATCACAAGGCAGGGAGACAGATTGCTTCTGTGCTTACACAGGCATGCACAGGAAGCCTCAGGCTATAGACGAGCACGTCGCTATTAGAACGACAGGAAATACGGAAATTTTATGTTTTCTTTGTGCGGCGCTCGTTAAGTCCAAGTATTTCAATCTTCTTGACAACAGTGACATGCAGTTTAAACTGAACCATGGATGATCACCATCACATAACTGCCTCAGGTGCTAAGAAAGCTAATCTCATTTGCCGCTTTACAGATCGCTTTTGGGGGGGTTGTCATGAATGCGTCTGAATATTAAAAAAAATAGGAGTTAATTTTTGCAAAGGAAACAGTGATCCAAATACACTCGACCAAAT